ATAGCATTTGACATTTATCCGTTGATTACCTCAGATTCCCAGCCCACATACATGAGTTATATATCACAGCCGTTGGCTACACAGCGCCTTCAATTTGTATGATTTAACAGGCTTAGCAAAGAGCTTACAGTTGCTTAAGTTGGGCAGAGCAGCTAAACTTGCTGGCCAAAACTCTTTTCTAAGTGGAAGAATGTATAACTCAATGCTTGTTCACGCTGTGAAATGAGTATATTGGTTTTGTGCAAGGTCTGCCGAGATATATTTGTGTGCCCATTCGTCTGTCTGTAAGTCTGTCTATTAGTCCATTTGCTTGTCCCCTTATCCATTTGTCTATTCGTTCGTGTGTCAGCTGTTCCATACGGCCATCCGTCCATCTGCCTGCCGTCCATCTCTCTATTCGTGCGTCTATCCTTCCGTCTGTCTATCCGTCCGTCTATTCGTTTGTACGTTCGACTATCCGTGCAAGCATCTGCCCATGTATCCGCCCGTCTGTATATATGCCTAATCGTGCGTCTCTCTCGTCCGTCTATCCGCATGAGCCCAAACCAGATATAGATATTTAAAGTCTGAAGTATATACTGATTGCTACCGTCATCTTAGATGTTTAGATCATTGCGATATGTAAATAGACCCAACTCTCTACCGTCTTTCTTCCTTTCATTTATTTTATAAGAAATATTACAATCAAAAATATAGACTAGCTTTAAACAAAATCCAATTTCAACTAATAGCCATAGATACCCTCTAGCAAAAGTTGAAATATCAGCAACATTTCACTCTATACTGTTATGCAATGAAGGAGAAGGGAACATGGGTTCGATAAGGCTGTCATAGACTGAAGCAGATAGCAGAACAAGAATTGCCAGAAATGTTTCATCAAAATTCTATAATAAAACAACTAACAATGAAGAAAAACTCTATAATTTCATTTCAAACTTAACTAAGTAAAAACCTCTCATCCCGCTTTGGTAGAGTGCACACTTAAGGTCCCATAATCAAATTGCCAAACACTTAAATATCAATCAAGCTGGGCAGCCGTCACTCAACACATTGATTAAACAAAACAAAAAGCTGCATGGCCAGCCCGGCATGAGATGTCGAGTCTATTTACAGCTCTGCGACGTGCCAAGAAATTTAATTAGCAAAAAAATTTGGACAGCAAAGTTTTAGGTCTTCGCATCGCATCAAAATCAGTCTCAGATTTTCAGTTCACAATTGCCCAATTCTCAGTCATTTGTCAGTCTGACCTCTGGTCTCTCTCTTTCTCTATTTGTCTCTCTCCCTTTCTCCCTCTAGCTCGAGTGTCAGTCTCGCGTATTTCGGGCGCATTTTTAATGAATTACAACATGCAGCAAATGAACTTATTTTTTATGTAAGCGCCAGACGCGGCATTTAGCTTTATGGCTGGACCCAATGGCCTACTGTGAGCATAAACGTAAACATAACCGTAACCATAAACGTAAACCCAAAACGTAACCGGTTCACGTGACCGCGCTAAAAGTCAAAGTGTCAAATAGTTGATGCGATCTGCTGCTGTTGCAGCTGCTGACAATAAAGCGGCTGCCAAAAGTAAATCTGAAGCAAATTATCTTAATGTGCCAAAAAGCCAGCTAGACATTCCACAGAGCGTGTTAGCCAAGCCTGGCAGCAAATAACCAACTTGCCACCGGGCGTTGCATGATTATATTTTCATTAAGCACAATTTGCCACACTCAACTATTAAATTTGTCTCAGCTATGAGCCCATTTCCAAGCCGTCACGAGACCAACGGCTGCCAATTGCTATTGATAGGTATTTATACAATAGTTCAACCTCATTGTATTTACATGCATGCCACAGTTGCCCAGGCAACAGCAGTGGTTGTATCTATGTGCGCATATGTGTGTGTGCCTGTACAATGTGGCGTATGAGTAATGTTGGCATTGCGCACGCAACGGTAAATGCAGCGCAAGGCACAGCCAAGGATTCGTTTATCACATGCGTGCAATAATAGTCAATGCGAACGCTATCAAAAGCTTAACAGCTAATTAAATACAAACCTATGAATGCCGTCATGAAATGTGATTCAGTCTACATTACGCTGAGTATAAAAAAAAAAAAAGAAAAAAAAAAAGATAATTAATTGGATTTCCCAATAATCCAGTAAAAGTACAGATACTTCACTTGAACAAAATCAGAATATAGTTTTATGTTCATCAGAAATTTATACATGACCTGTCTATTTGTCGATTACGTATACTTAACATACGATTTTATAGCCTTATGGCTTCATAATGATCTATCTATTGATTGCTACAATCTCAGGTCTCACTGAACAACAGAGCTCTAGAGACTAGATTTAGAACAGCTCTTGTCTACAATGATTCTTTCTTAACTGAGCTGTATGCAAAGGCGCTGGATTATACAAAGGAAAATTCTTTATAAAAATATTGTGCTTGATAAGAGTTACTTTGAAGGAAACAATATAATAATTTATGAATTTTCAAAAAAGTAAAAAAATTCCGCTAAATTTTTGGATATATATAGATTACGACTTTTCCTCTCAAATAGGCTATGCATCTATCTTATGTAATTTATAATTTAATGTACCATATTGAAACATATATGTATAAAGCAAATGCTCTAAATAAGATCCCTTCAGCTGGCTCTTACATAATCATCATATATAATACTCTTTGTTAGCCCGCTTTATGTGAACAGTGTAATAATCTGCTCAAATTACAAATGAACTCTTGACTCTGGCAACATTTGGCTTTAGAGTTTTTATTCATCTGTTAACGTGGCCCATATGTTGCTGCTGCTGCTGCTGCAAAAAAGCAGTTAGCAAGCTACATATGTAAATATGGCCACAATATTCGCCGGAATTATGCGATAAACATTTAGTGCGCCATTCGGGCAGCATCTGAATTCAATTGAATCTCGCATATGAATCGATTATTGCCGTTTAGCTTGACACGCGCTTCGCCTGTGCTATTTCGGTGGCTGCCACATTCGGTTGCAACTGTTGCCAGCTGATTGGCAAATATGCTTTAACAGCCATGTCGTGCCAGGCCCGACACACACACACACACGCACGTGTAATGTGCCCCACATGATGAGCACATCATAAAACTGAACTGAACTGAACTGAGCTGAGCTGAGCTGAAAAGAGCTGTTATAGTCCGACGTGGCTTATTACATCATCTGCCATTTGGGTCGAAAGTTTGTGCACTTTGCAAAAATGGAAATTAGTTGAAGGCCAAAATTGGCTAAGAACACTTAAGTGTTCTATTAGCCAACGCGAATTAGTGAGTAATAACGACTTGACTGAGTGAGTGAAGGGACTTGGATACTATTCAAACTTGATTGCAGCATGCAGAGAGAAGGTGAAACATTAAGGAATGACCAAATAACATGAAACACGAATTTACCTAACTCTATCAAAGCTAAACACAAGCTTTGATATGTTTAGGAATGTTTCATATAGGATTCCAGTAGTTGTGAAGCTTTACCTGATGAAATTTGATAAACAAAATAATTTCAAATATTTTCAAAACTGATAGTTCAATCTTTATGACAATCACAATCGTTTAAAGTTTTATTTTATATTTGAAAAATTAAATTTTGATTTTACTTGTTAAACAAATAATAATCAAAAAATAAACATCAATAAATAAATAATAATATTAATAATTAAATTCATTTCAGCAACAAATAATGCAATTTTAGCAAAGCAAAACTTGAATTAATAATGAAAATGCTTCTAATTTCAGAAAGTTTTATATTCTTATATGTATTAAACAAAAACTTTAAAAGGCATAGAACCAAATTTAAAGTGGCTAGAATGACAGATCTATCAACACAATTATTTGAGCTGCAATTTCTGAAAAAATAAATAATTTTGACCAAAAAGAAAAAATGAATACAGCTGTTATTAAAAATTTATATTTTTTTAAATAAACTTCTATTGTCGCATTAATTTTAAAACAAATGGAAAACAGTCAAGATAAGAAAGTTTTCGGTAAATTTTTTCAAGGACTTCCAGATCTGAAACTTTGCTTTGAGTTGACAGTCTTCGAGAAATTCAACAACTACTTTGCGTTGAAAAGAAGTGAGAGAGCGAAAGCAAAGCATAGCAATCTAGGACGCTTTGAGTTACGGGCTGTTAATCAAGCGCAAAGAAGCTCGCATTGAAGCAGGGCAAAGGTCAGCGTCGCGACGCGACGCTTCTAGCTGGCCAAAGAGTGGACAGCCAGCCGTGCGAGGCAATTAACCCAAGTTCATGGCGAATTCACGGCGTAACTTGGGCGTGAACCGTTTAACCATTTAATGGCTTATCATTTTACGGAGTGCAGAGTATAAAGTCAACCAACTACCTAATGAAATATCGCATTAAAATTGCTTTTATTGGCCAAAAGCTAAGCAGATACAGAGACACTTTAGCAGCCACTAGTGGTCCGTGCTAGATTTAGTGTTTATTTAACTTTTATTAAACCGAAATCAGCTGCGCCCCGTACAACTTCTTTATGTGCTCATAATTAGAAGAGCCCATAGCTCCAGGCGAGCCACCCATTTGCCTCCTATTAAATCAGACCGCACGCTGGTGCTGCTGCGGCCGGGGGCAACTCTTTAAGCCACGTGTGGTGCGCAGTGGATTAAAGTTGTAGACGCTGCCGCTGATAAATTGGCCGTATGTCTGGCCTGTGCTTCCGTTGCGCATAAATCAGGTTAGGCGTTGACCCCGTTTTAATGGACAGACGCCATGCTGCCACACACGTGTAGCCGGCCACACAGACATTGTGGCCACAATCTGAAGTTGCCTCGTAAATGGTGTGCAAAGACAAAAGGGCTGTGGCTGTGGCTGTGGCAGTGGGGCGGTGGGTGCCTGAACTTTGAACCGCAGCTAATGTCAAAGCATCCTTTCAGCCGTTGGGGCAGCAGGAGCTTCGTTCATCCTCAACATAAAAAATACGGGTTTTATTGCCGCTCACTCTAATTCCCTCTATGCTCTTCTCTTACAGATGATTAAAATGATGCTGACGGTTGTAATTGTATTCACAAGCTGCTGGCTGCCCTTCAATATACTACAGGTGGGTACCCTGTGGTGGTTGCTCTGACAGCAAATTACCCGCAAGGCGAACAAATCTAAGTTAAATTGCCTGAATCTGAATCTCTCTCTCTCTCTCTCTCTCTCTTTCTTTCTCTCTTTCTCTCACTTACTTTTGCAGCTAATGCTTAACGACGAGGAATTCGCCAACTGGAAGCCATTGCCCTACGTCTGGTTCGCCTTCCACTGGCTAGCCATGTCGCACAGCTGCTACAATCCCATCATCTATTGCTATATGAACGCCCGCTTCCGCGGCGGCTTCCTACAGATCATGTACCGCGTGCCGGGACTGCGGCGCTGCTGCTGCCTGCACCGCTATCTGCGCAGTCGCGGCGAGCGCAGCTATGAAGCTACCGGTGAGATGACCTTCAAATACAATCGCCGAAATGGCGATGGTCTAGTAAGGAAACCTAAAATACGCATTAGGTGCCACCTCCCTTCTCTAATTCTCTACAACTCTAATTATTTCTATACAAATCTATTTGTCTTGACGTTAATATGCCAGAGAAAAAAAATCAAACAATTTCATCTATGTATTGAACTTTGGCTAGCCGAAGTGGGTATATCCTTGTAGACAAAGTTGAACTCTAGCTCAAGCTGGAATTATTTTATAAGAGCTCTAATCTGCTTTCCTTATAAAGAACAAATTTCCTTATCAAGAATTCAATAAGAAAGTCTTTATTTACACGAACTTTTTATCGATTGACACTTTGTATCTGCCTAAGTCCGAAGTTATCGAGATTTTGTTTCTATATCTTTTATTAACATATACTATTATAATCTTTGAAATCATCTTACATAAAAGGCAAACTTTTTATGCACGAGCTATCATATTATATTTATTTTGTCAAAGTTTATTTATACTATTTTGCCTAAATGAAATATGTATATTATAAATTACATAAATGTGAGTTAGCTCAATGGATTATAAAGCACGATACAACACACACAGTATGTTCATTAATTGTTTTCAATTCTCTTCGCTCTCTATTTCTACTCTCTCCTGTCACTACTCTATAATCAATTGCCCCATCTACAAGGCTATACGATAACAAGAACTCGGCATAGTTCGTTAGCTAGTTCCTGTTCTGAGTAGCTAGTTCCTTAACTTCTCCTTCTTCCCAGGCAAATCTTAAAGCATGTTGCACACTCTCAGCGCACAGAACGATCCATCAATTGCATGCGTAGGCACAGAACTTATGGAATTTCATAGCAAATTAATTTCAAGTATTTTAATCAGACTTTCTTATAATTGTTTGCTAATTGCTGCTGTTGTTGTTGCTGTCTTTTGTGTCTTCCACGCCACTTAACAAAGGAACGGAAGATGCATTCCACCTACATCGTGTGAACACCTGCACCACCTACATCAGCACAAGGCGAAAGCTGCGCACCAATTCTATGCAAATGGTGAGTCGACCTCTAACAAATATTATATATATATTTCATACTCATGTAACACTTTTTTAGAGCCAATTTTCATGTGCGGAGACCACAGTGTTGCGGTAGCTCCCGATGTCGCAGAGATGCCCCAACCCCAGCTACAGCTCCAGCTCCAGCCGCGTCGACCCGCTGCTGCGTTTCACCTGAACGGCGCCAGCTACCTGTGCTCCTCCACTCAGTTCTGAGCTAAGTCGCAAAACCAAAGATGTGCTGAATATCCTCTGTTAGATATCTAGTGCACACGTATAGAGAAACAAAAACCAAACGAATCTAGTTGAGTGTCTACATACTTATATGGCTAAGTGTATTCCTGCATAGATGTTAACTCAATGTAAATGTATAAAAATGTATATTACAGATAATCATAAATAAATGTGCATAGAAATTCCAGAGCAAGCAAACAATAATTATTTAGCAAAAAAATAACGAGTTAAGGCTGCCTAATAAATAAAAATAATAAAAAATTGAAAAAAAAATAATAATAGTTATTGACAATTTAATTAAAAATAAAATTTATAACAATTCATATGAATAACTCATTAACGCACACAATGGCCGACTGTCAGGTGGCATTTAATTTACTTCGGCGCACAAAAGTATGCAATACTTTCCATCAATGTCGCGATTCAGGCACAAAGTGTGTTGCCTGCTTTTGAGCGCAGCATTCATTATAGATTACGCATACGCAGTGAGGGGCGTAATTGAATTTGCGTAGCTGCCATTATAGATTAGCAGCATTTGCAACTACATTAGAAAAGTTCATTTATTGGCCTAATACCATTACCAAAAAACGCAAGAGCTGCATTAGCTGCAAAATACACATAGAAATTGATGTAGAAAAATCACTCGACCTCTGTTCGTTGCCCATCACCAGATGCGACATTTGGGCTGATCCGGATTCATGGCAGTGCCCCGCCTGCACTTGAATGTGCGCGCAAACTCCTCGGAGTTGGATAGAACGCCTTTGAGCCGCATCTGGCCCGGACAGTGCGAGTCCTCGAGCGCATAACGCGATGCGGCTGGCGTATATGTCTCGCACCACAGATTGCCGAACGCGATGAAGAAGAGCTGTTCGTGCGTGTAGTGCTCCAGGCCGGGCAGTTTCAGGCGCTCGCGGCCCACCTCCTTCACATAGAGGCGATACGCCATATAGGCCTCCCGCATGCCGCCATTGTCCGCAATGTTCTCGCCCAGCGTCAGCTCGCCATCAATCTGCAAGCAGGCCGAGATTTGTGCATTGATTAAGTGCGCTTAGTTGGAGTTGCCGTTGCCGTTGCCATGCTTACGTATTCCCCAATATCCGGCAGATAGTAACGACTGTACTGCTCCACGAAGCATTCGGTGCGATTGACGTACTCGTTGATTGTCTGATTCGACCACCACTCGACCATGTTGCCCTCCTTGTCGAAGCGCCGTCCGCTGTCGTCAAAGCCGTGCGTCAGCTCGTGACCCAATATCGTACCAATCGAGCCGTAATTCAAGGCTCTAAGAAGGATGCGTGCGAACAAATGTAATTCAGTTGCTATCTTAAGGGATTAAAGCGCCAAGATTGAGTGCAGAATGGACAGCGGTCAGTGGCGGGTGCGGAGAGTGCGAGGTGCAGGGAAATGAAACCAGTGCTTGATTAGGGGCGTAACTGTTCCGACTTACTCGAGGCCAAGGTTGTAGAAAGGATATTGCAGGATGGCAATGGGCACAGCTGCAATGGAAAACAATAAAGAGATTACCACTAATGAGACAATGGCTGACTGCTTGAGACCCCAAACTAGTTTATAAATGATGTTGTCCGACAGTTTACAAAGGTAATTAAAGTATACTATGTGAAGTTGCTTGACTGACATATACCCTGTACTTAGCTTATAAAATAGCTGTCAATTCTCCGATATTGTCAGTATGATCCAGTGCGGATATCCTATAATTACAGTCTGGTGACTAGTTTAAAAAGATATTTGATATTGACAGACTGGTGCATACTCTGCGAGCAATTTCAAAATATTCTCTGAGTGTAATATGTGATATAATTTCAGTCAAAACTTTATTGAAAACATATTGCGGAGTACCTGACTAACAGCTACCCTGGAATTGGCGCAAAAAATTATAATAAATTAGTGTCATATGTAGTATTGACTGACTAGATGATATCCTCTAACTTTAAAAGGTTGCTTAAAATGTTTGATTTGCTATTGACTATATACGATTGTCTGACTGGAAGATAATAAACAAATAGCGCTTGAGCTGTACTGAAGCTCGTCATTCTACGCTTATACTCATAAGGACGCACGTTAATAAATAGATAACACTGCCAATGGATTCATTTACACCAATTACAATATAATATCCTCTCTTTAACTCATCACCATTTAAATGAAAGGCATAAGTCGGAAATTAATCTAATATCGCCTGGAATTATAATCTATAATTTACTTACTTAAATCTTTAATGTACTTAAAAACAAACCTCCTGCCTACATTCTATATACTCTACGTAGTAACCACTTTTAATGAACGTGATGGATGCAATGAACTGATTAAAAGTGACCGCACGAATGCATTCAACTTACTAATGGCGTTCGATTGAAATGTATGGAAAGCATTCACATTCGATGGCGATGTCGCCCAGCCGATGGGCTCCGGCTGGTCCATGTTATTGATTTTGGCGAGCATTTGCCAGTGCACGAAGCCCATTAGATTCTCCAGATGAGTGCTCGCATTGACCTGGACGCCCTCGTAGTAGGCATTGAGGGCGGTCTCATTGGTCAGCCACGGAGGGAAGCCAATGAAGCTCTTCATTTCGGCCGACTTCTGCATTGTCTGCCGCTTGGTGGCCGCGTCCATCCAGCTGGTGGCGCGCACCAGTCGATCGAACGAGCGCCTTATATCGCTCAGCATGCGCTCGACACGAGGCAAAGTCTGCGCCGTGAAGCGCTCATCCGCCAGCACATAGCTCACGGCCATGCCAAAGAGCGTATTCACGCCGTGGGCACAGTAGAGGGAGCGGGGAGTGCTGCCCTCGGTGCCGATGACGAATCGCATGTACTCGGCATGCAGCAGCCGCATGTCGCTGGTCGTGTGCAGCACCAGCTCCTCGAGGGCGCTCAGCCACAGATAGGATTCGATGTGCATGGCGGGCGTTTCGTGCAGATATTCCACAATGTTCTGCAGATAGTAAATGTCCGCCTGGCTGGTTATTACGGTCGTATTCTTGATGTCCATTGTGGATGCGTGCTTGGTGTCCTCCAGCATCAGCTGCATGTAGCGCAACCAAATGGGCATCGTTTGGGGCGCAATGTTCTTATCCGTTTCATTCTGAAGTTTCACTAATGAGATGTATACGATATCCTCGACGGGATTACTAGATGGCTTCGTAATGTTCTCCGCCTCCTCCTTCAGCTGCAAAAAGGAATCTCTTTAATGTGAAAGGTTTCGGGTGAGAGATGAGCCGGCCAACCGTATGAATCTTGCGTGCCACCTTGACGGCCTGCATCACCAGCTCCTTGATGCCCAGCGTGGCCTCCTCCTGATTGACTTCGGGGTCCACATAGAGCAAGTACTTCTCGATGACCTTGCGCACGTACATCACATAGGCGGACATGCCGGAGCTGGTCTGCTTGCTGGCCTCCTCCTCCTCCTCTTCCATGTCGTGGCCATCATTATCATCGCTCTCGTCCATATCATGCATGTAAATGGTGCGTTTATGAATCCTGCGCAGCATCTTGTGCGAGTCGTCATTGTTGCTGAAATTCAATTGGAGAGAGTGAATAGAATATCAACTTAGAGTCGAATCTCCGTCACCCACAAGGGAAACGCGGACTCCGTTTCGGGCGTGCCCAGCGCAATGCGATTAAGCGTTCGATTCAGGGGATCGGGAAACACATCGAAGCCCACTATCAGATCCAGACTCAGGTGACGCTTGATGGCCACTATCGTGTCCAGCCAGTTGTAAGTATAGTTTCTCGGCTCTGCGGCATATTTCGAGGCACTGCTCAGAGTTAGATTTAGAGCCGAGGGCAGCAGCAGCAGCTTGAACCGTTGCAGGTACTGCACAAGCGGCTCCAGATCGCGCTCGTCCAGCAGCTCCGTGTTCATGCAGCCGCGGTACATTGTCTTGGCCATGCCCACAGCAGCTGGCTCGGCGCTGCTGATGTTCGACTGCAGAAAGGAGCGAACCAAGCGCATTATATGCGCCTGCCGCTCGCGGAACCAATCGTTCGATGTGGCCGAGTCGGGACGCGGATGCTCGTCGGCCCAGCGGCCGCAGGTGAATTTGTAAAAGTCCTCGCAGGGATCAGTCTGTTCGTCCATGGCATAGATGAGGCTCGCCGCTGTGCGGATGCACTCCTTGCTCCGGCATATATGACTAGATTTCCTAACTGAAAATGATTATTGATTGACCATTAAATAATTATTCATCTCTGCTCATCGGCTCAGCTACTCACATGTTACGCTTAAGACTATGATTGTTATGAGCAGAACGGCTACGAGTGCCGCCAACAGGCCCAGCACTACCTTGTGATAATATCTGCGACGAAATCTGCAAATGATGCGAAATCATGTCATTCTTTTGACTGTATAACTTGGAAAGCCCAGCTATTCACCCACTTGGACTGCACGCCAATTAGATTGGAGTTGATGTTCTCGTAGGGCTCCTGCTTGCTCTGCGCACTGTCCCCATGTCCGTTTTCGCTGAAGGCACGCACCGGCGCCAGTTGGCCAGACAACAGATTTCGATTAGCTGGAATAGACGGCCATTACGAGTTCATTAGTTATATGTATCGATGCCAATATAGTTAGATCACATTTCTAGTCATTTCTAAACCTGGCGCCCATTTGTTTTTGTTTTTGTTTTTGTTTTTTTTTTTCTGAAAATTTATTAACTCTAATTAGTTTGCCGTTGTCTATTTAGATGTCCATCATTTTTCATGCTCTTTACCCTTATATTGCTGTCTAATCTTGATCCATATTAGGCGTCCCTCCATAGGTGTTCAGGCTGTCAGGCGAGCTGGACTAGACGGAAAATTGTGTGCCATAATGCATTCACCTGTCGCATTCAAATGCAATATGCATTAACAATGCACTGGTTCAATGCACTGCGAATGTTTTGCGTGTCCAGGCACATTAAACTAATTTAAAAACGTACCCAGATATGTTGATATAGCACACATGCATATCTATCACTATATATAGACACAAATATCTTTATAGATGCAAAAATACATTTTCCAGATAGTTCTTAAATCCTACCGATTGAATAATTCATTTTTGCGGGCATTAAAGAGTTATTTTTATCTATTTATATAATTTTTTTAGGTAAATAAATTATTTGAGACATAAATATTATATACTGAGCTCTGAGAAATACGTTGAATATAAAACTATATATTAAAAAAAAAA